CAATTGGACTGCATTATCGACCACCGGTTTGAGCAGGGGGTGATATAACTGTGCTGTCATCACGTCACAAGAGAAACACATCGAAGCCCAAAACACGCTATCGAAGTTTCGAAGTAAAACAGTATATATATAGCTCCGAACTACTACTCAGAGTGTAGATTACTCCACGAGCAGAGCATTTTGCCAGGCGAGAGATTTCCCCTTTTCCTTCCACGGTCAAAATTTTATCACTCGGGTTGAAAGTTGAGATTACTTAAATGAATGCACTTATAATAGGTATGTAACCTTTATTATAGGTAACTTTTATTAAATAAGCAATATTAAATAAAATACAAATATTTATTATTTATTTATTGGTATTATTTCCATATTTTTTTATTAAAAAGCCGTAAGATTTTGTAAGATTTCAACACTATGAATTTCCGAAATATTTATACTCCTTTTTACATATCTTACAAACCACTTTCTACTCATACTATTATCTCAAAATTTTTGAAAAGATTTTTGTTTTATTGTAATCACCCATATTTTCAACTGAGGTTCTTAAGCTACAAGCTAACTAGTAAAGTGAAATCTTTCTAGCGCTCACAGAATCTACTCGATGTGCCGAGTTGACGCGGTAACTCAAGTACAACGGACTCGAGTAAAATTTATTTTCACTTATGTACAAAGTTAACAGTCCAGTCACTCGAGTGAAAAAAGGATTTGAGTCGCATTACTAATACGAATTATTACCAAAGAAACAAGTGAGTTTATAAAATTGTTTGTTCACATCTTAAAGTAATTACATACATAAATACTCGTAGGTACATAGGTAGTTCACATAATTGAACTCTAAGTAACTTGGACGGAGTATTATTCTGAGTGGTTACATACTACTCCACTGACATTAGCATTTGGAATGGCAGTACCTATTTCAACAAAGTTTGTCTTGCTTTTCTGATCGTGTAACTAGTACAGTCGATTTGGGTAACTTTGAACATTTTCTACAGTATTTGTGATATTAATTCTGATTTATATTTATATACCTTTATATTATGGAATAAATAATGTTCTTTTGAGTTTGTTTATTTTTCCAACATAACACATTTATGGGAAAAACAACAGAACTACCTAGAAATACCTCTAAAAGTCAAATTCAAAGTTATCGTGAGTTTTGGGTAACTTTGAATCAAAATTTTTTAGGATGTTAAACCCAATATTTTAACTTTTGAGTAAAATTAGATGACGTATTTTTATTTCAAAAGCCTAATCTATCAAAACGGTGACGTGATAGATAACTTGGTCTTGTCATATGAATCAAAGTGGACCAAATGGTGGAAAAAAAGTTCGTGATTTTAAGCTATTGCATAGCTTCTATCGCGGGCCTTGAGCGCGGGGACCGAATCCAGAAAATCCGTAACGAAAAAAAACCTCACGCTCCCCACTCCGACGGGCACGGAGGTGTGGCGTTGAAAGCCGTGCATCGTCTAACGTCGTTTCAGTTCGGAAGACTTCGGCACTCGGCAGACTTTGGCACGGTGTTTGTGTGCGTGCGACTAGACGTATGCGTGTACACTAGCTGCTAACTCAATGATAAAAATTCCTGAATAACCTACATGTATTGTAAGATATTAAAAATATTTTAAACAATATTAACTTCTCATTTATTCAATAAGAGAAAAAAATTGTTTTCATATCGGTCACCACGCTCAAAAAGTGTAACTTGATTTAATATCAAAGACTTAACTGCATAAATAAAATAAATAAATAATTATAATTGCATAAGTTGATAAAAAATGCTATGCAATAGCTTTACCGCGGCAGTCACCGAGTGCCACACGTATTTTTTTTATAATTATTTATTACAACAAGTTAAATTAGTAAAGTCGTGTGTAACATAATAAATTATAAGTACGTTTATTTGGCTATCGAATCAGATCAAACTCGTAATTGCAAGTAACATTTTATAAATTTTTTTAAATAAAGTTATTCACCCCATTGCACCAAGTTGGCCGCCTTTTTCGATATCTGTTGCTTTTCTAAAACACTTATTATATTGGCCTTATCGATTTCATATATGCCAGCTTTAGAGGGCATAAAGCAAACTTTAAAAAGTTTTTTGGAGCACAGAGACTTGTAAGGGTCTAACTTTTTCTATCCTTCCTGGAAACAAACTACCCTCTTCTCTAAAGACACAACATGTGCACTTTTAAAAAAATTAATATAATCTACATTTTATTCAATCATAATAATACATATCTGATTACAATAAGTTTAATATATTTAATTGCGATTTCAAATCAGAGCAACTAACACTTCCAATAACTTCACTACGGAAAAGGCGGGAAATTTTCAAAATTATGTATTTGACAGTTTATTTTCTACATTTCGTTTGCTACAAAACATTTCAGCTATACGTTATACGCAGTTACGATATTGAAACAACAAATAAATTCCATTAAATAAATAAATAAATCTTTTCACAACTTTGTTCACAGTTAAACCGCAATTCAAAGTTATCTAACATAAGGTTGAGCAAGAGAGAAGAATTTTTTTAAATAGTGTTCACAAATGAAATTAACTATAATTAGAAGTGTATAATGAATAATTATAATAAAAAGCTAGCGGAATGGTATAGCTGTAACCATAAAGTTCTATAGGCAAATGTAACATATTCTCTACATTTTCTTTTTATAGAAGAGGGGGCAAACGAGCATTCGGTTCACTTGATGTTAAGTGACTACTGCCGCATATGAACAACCGCAACACCAGGGAAATTGCAGGTGCGTTGCCGGCCCTTTAGAAAGGAGTAAGCTCTTTTCTTGAAGGTCCCTAGGTCGTATCGGTCCGGAAAAACCACTGGTGGTAAACTATTCCACAGAGAGGTCGTTCGCGGAAGAAAACTCCTAGTGAAACGTACAGTGGTGAACCGCCAAGCATCCAGATGGTGTGGATGGTATCGTGAGGTTCATGAAATTTGGCGGCTGGGATTAATCCAATTTTATATACGATATATCCAACATTACATACATATCCTCAGATCAATAATTAAACCTTAAATATCAAAATATCTGGTTCCATCACTCCTGTTTAAAGAGTAATATGTTATTTGATTAGGTTTGGTCCTTTGACCTGTTTAATCAAAAAATATACTACTAAGGCCTTGAGTTTTGGTCTGTGTCAAAGACTACTATTTAATCTGAGATATACACTAAGTGAAGACGGCGGATTTGTGAATCTATAAATGTAAAACACTTTAAACTTTAGGTTATTCCTGTATGGCTGTAACTTTTAGTAGTTGCTTGAATAGTCAACTACTAGGACTACAATCATTCCAGCCAAACTGCAAAACTGAGCCAAATGGAGTCAAACCAAAGAGTATAAATTACTATTTACTACATATAAGCCTTACTCTATGCCAATAGACGCTAAATGCTTTGTTTTGAAATATATAGAAACATTAATTTAATGCGAAAGTAAATACAATATAGCCGTAATAACAACTTTTTTGCAGATAAATTAAAATATGCCGATCAAATCTCATAATAAATAATTCTCATACATTACTGATAGCAGAAATCACTTGACAATGTTATCATTTTATCAGTACGTCAAATATACGAACACTAGCGCCATAATCATTCGCAAACACGCGCATTAATCAGCGTACCGTAAACAATGGGCTGTTTCTAAGGATGTGTGAGTGTGTGTGTAGCTTGCTCGTTCGTTTGGTTGACAATCGCGATGTGATGTATTAAACACCATCGCATGCCGAGTTATATTTTAACAAAACTTTAATTATCGTATTAGCTAAAACATTGATTTCTAAATGTTTTCTTTCGTTGTGATCACGTTTTTCTATTTTGATTTCTAAATATGTGTAATTTGCCGCCGAAGTTCCATTCAGTGTGTCGCCTTTGTTTATCATTTTGTGGCGATAATTGCAGTGATGTTAAAGTTCCAATATTCGACCGCGATAAGGATAAATCACGTCTCTCTGAGATGATAATGACATATTTATCAATAATGGTAATACATTAAGTAGTTTTTTATCTTTGACCACTGAAAAGATGCCGTTTTACCATGTGAAAGTTTAGTCTAAGCGTAAGAGATTGTGGATACTGATAAGCGCCATTAACTTTCTCGCGGGTGTTGGGTATTTTCGCATTGTGATATCATATTACGGCCCACGCGTCGAATCTCGAGCGAGTGACTAATGTAGTTCGTGGAACTGATAGGCGGGGCGGGTGGTGGTCGCTGTATCAGCTACTGCTGATAACAAAGGAGCACGCAGAGATCATCGCGCTCTGTTTCTTTGAACATTCCGCCCGCCCGCCCCTCACCACTTTCACATCTTCGCCCTACACAAAACTAATGTACCCTGCACTCTGCATATTCTCATTTTAACCACATACACTGCTATTTTCAGAATCAACATCCTCTAAATTTAGATACATTCTTTAATGTGGGGGGACTATATTCACACTGTTTTTTTTTGGATTTAACTTTAATAAAAACAAGTTATTTATATACTCTTTGAATATTAAATAAATATGTAGAAAGATATTTTTTTGTTGTTTATTACAAAATGATTAGCAATGACTCATTATCTATGATTATACTCACAAAAGGTCACTGGCCACATCATCTTATTGAATGACTGAGTTATTGTGAAACTAATGAATCTTAAAAAAAATATTGTTTTTAGGTTTCTCCATCAGATATGCTGCCACGGGTAGTGTGTGGAAGTTGTGCTCACAAACTTAATGAATTTCACACATTCAGAGAATTGTCACATAAATCAGAAAAATTATTAGAACAGTTTCTTCATTATGCAAATTCACTTTCTGGCCCAAAAGAGGTGAGTTAAAGTAACAAAACATAATTAATTGCATTATATTTATTCTTATTACTAAACAGTAAACATATATGATAACAATTTAATACTTTATCTATTATTTGCTATATAGAAGTGGTTTATTTATTTTTATTTTTGTGTATTAAATATACTTTCATAATCAAGCAAAGCTTGAATCTGAGTGAAGATTGATGTAACGAATTGGCTGGCTTCTTATATTTTTGTTATAGAAAGCCTTCATTGCGTTCACTAGAAGTCCTATCAACATGCCAGCACAGACTATCATAGCAACACCAAAAATGCTCCACAGAATGTGTTTTGGTCTTAAGTTTGAAATAGAGAAACCTTTTTTTGTTGCATAAGTTGAGTCAAATGTGGGGCAGAAAGTCAGCGTTATGTTTGTTATAAAAGTTCCGGAAAATTTCATTGGTGCAGCACAACTGAAAATATGAAATATTTTAAAATTATCACATATTATAAAATTATTGTATGACAAATTATGTTTTTCACTTTGATTAGAATATTATTATCAATTAATACATTTTTTATCTGCTTTGTTAGATAGATACATAATACATACATATTTGTGTATTTAAAATTTAGTAAAAGTTAGTAAAGCATTTTATACTAACTATGGAATTTCTCCCGGTTTGAATTTGGCACCGGCCTCCTGTTTTGTAATGATATTTGCTAAGTCACAGTTGCATAGCCAATTGTTGCCGGTCATTCCTAGTATCTCTAATTTACTCCATGGCATTAAGTCCGTGGAGAGTTCACTTAAATTGTTGTCATCTAAGTAAACCTGATATGGAAATTTTTTCATTAATTTACATTACATGACATTGCTGTTAAGTGGTGGCACTATTCCATACCGTCCCATTGGTGTCATGTGCCATAAGGAGACAGAGGGAAACTGGAACAGGATATGTGCAGCAGTACCTTCCTGATAACAACTTGAAATAATCAAAAAACTGCATTTGCCAATCTTTTGAAAAGCGTGGCTACATCCATCCCCTCTATGAAGCAATCTTTGGAGGGGGTCCATATTATTCAGTGGACTTTGATTGGCTGTAATGATGATGATGAACATGACATAAATACTATATGCATAGTCATCAAATTTATTGTACCTCCTTTAAGATAAATTTTGCAACAAATTGAGTGATATCAAAATAAACATTAAATGATTAATCAGCTGACCCGGTTAAAAAGCTGTCATGTAAGCAATACAAAGTGGGGCAGTAAAAATTGCACACACTATATTGATTACATTGTGTGATTGAAAGATAAAGTAGCAAATTGGTGTTAATACACCATAATTATATTTATTACATTGAAATAACTATAGTAATAGATAACTTTCTACTTTATATTGTGAAAGTGAGGATTAAATAATCTCATAATTACAGATCTTAAACTATAGTCCTTAAACTATAGACACAGATATTTTATTACAAATGTGCCATATGTGATAAACAGACTAGGTTTTATGAGGATGAGTATTTAAAATGCAATTTAGGTATTAGACAGAAATTATATAAATAATAATTAATCATGCACTTTGGCATGATCTTATTTTATGTTACATTAATTAGGTCTCCAATACTTTCGGAAAGCTTTATTTTTGTTTAAGTGTAATGATTGCCCCGTTGGTCTAGTAGTGCTGATCATTAGGTCGAGTGTTCGAATCGCGGGTCGGGTCAAAAAATCAGTTTATTGAGTTCTTCTATAAAGAAATTTCCAAGAGACAAAAAGTTGGCGGTGTTTAACCCCCGAGCCTCGAAGAACACGTAAAGCCGTCGGTTCTGCGCCGGATCTCTATACGGTAGTCGGGTTACCGTCCCATCGGACTATTATGCCGGCTGTACACTCTCGTCTAGTCACCTCGCGTGCCTTTCGTCGTGTTGTCTCGACACGAGAACACACCATGTACACACTCGTTGTATCGTTTGAACTCCGTATGCCTGCTGAGATGGACCTAGATGAAATTGTTGCTGTATTTTGCCTTTGTGCTATTAGTTATTATAACCTTTTACACATTTACCATAAAAATAAAATTAATAAGCCACTGCGAAGAAGAAGATGGTGGATGGTTTCTATTTACCGTAACTGAACCATGTACGGTGAATAGAATATAGTGTGCTCTCGTTTTCATCGTGAGCCTCACGAGACCCTTTGGCTCGAGTGCAAAAAACCGTCAAGCTTCCGAGAGCGCACGAGGGCCACGAGACGCGACGCGTCGCGACGAGAGCACCATGTACACACTCGTACTTGGCCTGTTTCGTGGTGTCTCGACGAGCGTGTACAGCCGCCATCTAAGGAGGGAATAGAGAATGCAACCTTTGCTTGCGCATACACTTGGTCACAATAATCCATCCCGACGCAGATGGTCGGTATCATTTGAGACTGGCCGCCGTGACCGAAATTCGGTCTGGACGACATTATTATCTGTGCAAAGAACCGGGAAATATTCAAGGTTATTATATTATAGTACCTCTTTCAACGTCCATTTTTCTTTCATACCTCTGAAGGCATTGTGGCTTATGTATCTTAGGTTAGGATTGTGACAGAGATGTAGTACGCGCAAATTCTTAAGTGGCGTGAACGTGCTCCTTTTTACTTCCTCCAAGAAATCATTTTCGCCGACTTCCAGTTGTACTAGATTTGTCAACCCTGCGTGTAATAATTTTTAATTTATTTTTTAATATATTCATTATCAAGGAATATTTCCTTCCCTTAGAGTATCTATAAAATAAAAATATAATTCATTAAGTAATTCATTAATTTTTTGTGAATACAGGGAGTTAGGTGTACAAATATATTTTTTTATTGAGAAAAAAAGAATACGTTAAATAAATAAAAATGTTAACTATTCAAATATAAAATTAAAAAATAGGCGAAATTATTTTTATTCATCTCTTCAAATTATTAATATTAAATACAAGATTCAACAACAAATACAGCATCATAAGCTAATTAAACAAAAAAAATATTAGTAAAGAAAAAGTTAAGTTACAGGCTATCCACGTCGGCACAGGTTTTTTCTCATTTCTGAGTGGGTTATGACCTCATGCTGCAATTAGTCCGCCGCTGTACTCCACTACTTCTTGGTGCATTTCATATCTTCGAACTATTTTTATTCCTCAGACATAAGTTGTTTTAGGACGTTTTGCTTCACTACCAAGCACATGATAAAGGAGATCTTAAAACCGCAATTTACTATTTCATTGGTGCCGATTAAATGGATGATGCTAAGTGATAACCACTCGTTGTAAAAGAACACAATAGGATATAAAATTAAAAGAAAAATTTAATGTCACTTTTGTTACCATGTTTATCATTAGAGATTATTAGATATTATGTTTTGTAATTTTGGAACAAAGAGCGGAATAGAGGCAACGATTGAGGGAAATGAGGTCACATAATTTCATCCCAAGTTTACCATAGTGTTTACCATGGTGAGAGCGTCGTCGTAAAAGATAATGCGAACGTGTCGTATAAACATAGCATTGGCGGCTCTTGCGCAGTGATTTAGCATTTGCGATAGATTCAAATCCCGCACGATATAAGTATTTGTATACATCACGCTCTGCTACTAGGAGCCGTGGTAGCTCAGATGGTTAGCGCTAGCTGTAAATTTCAAAGTACGTGAACAAACCGGGTTCGATCCCCGCCGCGGAGCAATGAAATTGTTATTTGCAATTTTAAGTAGTGCTGATTCACCACGTGCTCGGCGTTGAAGGAAAACGTGACGAAACCTGCATGTCTGAGAAATAAGAAAAGTAAATATTTCAAAGAGATGTGAAGTTCGCCAACACGCACGTATTGGGGCAGCGCGGCGGACGATTCCTTGCCCTAAAACCCTCTCAGAAATGAGCGGAGGCCTGTGCCCAGGAGTGTGATGTATATAGGCTGTAACTTCTAACTTCATACAAATAATTGTTCCGCGGGAATTTTACCCTTGTGCAATTGACGTATTTAAACTGCTTTCACGACACAGGGGAAAATCCATAGAATACTATAATACATACATAATAGAACGGGGGAGTGGGCGGAGCCCGCGTAGCCACTAAAATGTCACTAACATGTCAATTCACATGATCGTTTTCAAATTTCGCATGCAAATTATTTAGAAATTGCCAAATTGCACCCTATTTACAAATAAATATGTATTAAAATTTAAACGATTTTTTAATGATGATCTTGAACACTAATCAAAAGTCTAAAATGTGTAAATTTACTCAGTCTGTCAACACAGCGAATCGGGTGTGGCGACGCCAAGCCTCGTACAAAATAAAGTTGACAGCCATTCTATTGTGTATTATACTATTCTATGGGAAAATTCTAGTTTAGAAAAGAAAAAGCGTCATTTCAGTACTTTCTTAACCATTTTTTTACTTAGTTTAAACATGTAATTACTAAGTTTTTTCGTAAAAATGTAATCATGGAATGGTTTTTGAGTGACTTGATCCAATGCTTTTTAGTCGTTCTAAAGAGATTACTCAAGGTTATGGCACTTGAAATCGCTTTCTTATTTAGCTAACAAATATGCGAGTCACACGATGATGATATTCTAGGCGATTATGATAACGGCGACTTACTACGCGGGTTATTAATACTAAAGGCAATTGCCTCGGCCTCCGTCTCTTCCCGTATTCAATGTAACGCTGCTTAAATTCGAGTGTGGCGGCAGTATCACTGTCACGAGGTTAGTAATCAAAACCTAGCCACGAAGAGCAATAAAGCAATAATTTAAGTGGTACAAGTAATGATAATCCTATAACGGGAGAGACCTATATCTACATTAATGGTAAAACAATTCTAGAAATCAAATGAAGAGCATACGGTTTGCGCGGTCGCGGAACTGAATTCAACTATATTTCATCTCCAATCACAACAGCATACGCATTATTGACTCTGACTAGGATTCGAAATTTGAATCATCACAGACGCTTACACATCTCGAAGTGGATTTTTGGAGTTTTTTTTTAAACAAAGATCGCCACGACTCTATTATTTAGTAGTACAATCATTAAATTCGACATGCATATGTATGTGGAATCCTTTTTTGTAATTTATTACTACTTCTCTTGATAGAATTTTGTCAATTTCAAGTCAGCCATAAGAATGACAAGTAAACTAGATAGTGAAGCAACAATTTAGCTGTTTTAATTTTTTGATTTAAATGTCTTACAAACATTCAGATAGTTTGTATTTATACAATCGATAGAAAGTTACGAGCGTCTTCTTGCATCATTCAATTAGAATGTAATTACATAACAATAAATTAAAACCAGTTTCCTAGTTTTCCTTTAACATATCAAATAAACTCAAATGTAATGCTGATGATGTCGTTTTGACCAGGTAAGATTGCGGCTACGTCGACGGCACATAAAAGTTGTTAAATGTATAAGACGAATCATAGTGCATCGTAACCTTTAATGATAGCCGATTTCGGTCATGTTGGTTACTGAAGATATGATTATAGGTTGTCAATTGCGCATGACATATGTGCTATAAATGTGCACAAAACACAGGCATTAATTTTTCCAACATTCATGCAGGGCAGGAATCTTGACCGGATTATGTTTGGACGTATTGCCGTAGACATACCTCAACCTTATTAGGTACATGATGTCCTGGGTGGAAGGTATCAACTGTGATGTAAGTGTCCGCAGAAAAAGAGATTTCTCTTTTTCTTTTTCTTCGTAACCCGTGCCTGTTGTTAATTTTACCACAGATTAATTACTACGTAAAAGTAACAGCCTATGTACGTCCCACTGCTGGGCACAGGCCTTCTCTCATTTTTCAGAGGGGTTTAGACCTGCCGCAATGCGTGTTGGCGAACTTCACATGTCCTTGAATTATTTTTTTTTCTTATGTTTTAATTCACCGCCGATTACGTGGTAAATAAGCACTTAAAATTGCAATTAAACAACTTCATTGGTGCTGGCGGGGATCGAACCTGGGTTGTTTGCGTACTGTGAAATTCACAGCGAGCGCTTAACCACTGAGCCACCACGGTTCACGTACTACTTATGTTTAACGCTTATTTGATAAGTCAGAATCATAAGAATATAGTGTTAGAGACGCGGAGAAAATCAGGACGCAAACAGACTAAGCAATTTGTGTTTCTGAACAAATGTGGACTTCGGCAAGCATTTAAATACAGAACTTGCTAGTCAGGCCATGGAGTGTAGATGTAAAGAGAACCATCTCACATAGGAGAATAGTTGGGAAAGTGTCCATCTGTAAGCAGTAAATAACACTTCAAAAATAACACAACAACGCTGGTAGCTAGTGGGTATGGAATGAACTTAGCAGTTGTCGACGGAGTGAAGTGTGCCAAGTTGAGGAATTTGATATTTGTAGTAACTAGAGTAGTGGATGAAACGGCAGTATTTAAAACCTTAACTACTCACGTTGTCTAAAACAATTTAGTAAATATAACCTAGAAAAAGGCGTCGTGAAACATATTAAGAGTGATATTGAAAATAAAAATTTTGAAAACAATAAAATAATTAATATAAACGAGAATTATAGTAAAAGTCTGTGCAATAAAAAGTTATAAAAAGTCATAATGATTTCTTATATTTACGCAATGATTTCTAACATTTACGCGAACACTACACATTGATTAAAACTACTTTTATGGATTTTATCGCGTTTATTTTACTATTATTTTTATTCCCGACGTTTATAGGACAAACAAAAAGATCAATTAGAACCCGCGTAAAAGAACATATAGCTGATGTGAAGCATCAACGTTCCGGGAAGTCTGCAGTTTGCGATCATATCCTTAGACGGCCCTAACCATTACATCAGATTTGATAGACCACAAATCCTCGCGAAAGAACACCGATTCCTACCAAGGATGATACGTAAGGCTATTGAAATTAAAAAACATCCTAATTTCAATAGTGAAGGAGGCTGGGTACTACCACCTGCTTGGGATCCTATAATCAATAAAATTAAAATTAAACCCAAGCATACCACTGCAAGACCTCAGGACATAGTCGTTCATTTTGCGTAGATCGGACCATAAACAATAATTAAAAAAGCTGAAGGTACTCCGGGTTTAACAATGACATCGGGACGTCAGTCATCTCAGTCCCCCGTGACCATGGGTGCTGGAAAGCGCCCGAAACGTCGGGAATAAAAATAATAGTAAAATAAACGCGATAAAATCCGTAAAAGTAGTTTTAATCAATTATAAAAAGTCCTTTAAAATTTACCCTCTAGCTACAGTGGCGCCACCATTATTTAGCCCTTTCCTACAGACACTTCGTAATACAGAGACGGTTTTCCTTACCTCCTCTATACATCATGAGCTAGGTAGTGTGTTTAATATCGTCATTACAATCAGTTTATAACTAAACAAAAACGCATCGATTGGTCTTTATATGATTTGCCGTTATTTGTTGGAGTCGGAGCTATAAATAATTTTTATCGCTACTCTCGAACCCATTACGGAACCATGTTAGAGCTATTTCGAAGAGTAGTAAAGAATGGAAATATCTACTTTAAACGAAATTATATTCATAAATAACACCATTTTACCATGTATCGCGCGCATGGGTAAACAAACAGTCGCTTATATTTATATTTACATTGACATTAAGCTCCTGTTTTAACGCTACAATCCAGTTTTATAAATAGTATCATGTAGTCAATATTCTTATTTTACTACTATGCCTTTTACGTATAGAAGTATATATGTTTGTTTAAGAGCAAAAATCAATGTTTTAAATGTTAAATATTTTGTTTTATTTTGTAAATTCTAGATGGCGCTAGTGGTACTTTGTTACAAGGTATAATCAGTGCATCGTAATACAATAAGGGCAAACATAAATATGGTTTAGTATATCAGTTCAGAATACTAGCTTTCCTAGTATGGCATTGGTCCTTCGAGCCGGATAAAGTGTTCGGGATCTGAGGCCTAGTCAGTGAAGTGCAATGGTCATTAGTTGTGACAATTCGTCAGTATATTTTACTACGAGTAGGCACTATTATGATATAGGATGACTTGATGCAAAATTTGAGTTAAATTATTCTGTAAATCCATCCATAAATTATAGACATTTTTTTAATATTTTTAGTTATTTCACATTTGTCTCTTCGTTTGTAATCGTCGAACAAAACAATGTAGAATCTTTCATACATGCCATGCTTAATATTTAAATATATATATGTTAACGTACCAACAAAGCTGTCGTCGTTGAGTTCCACTATAGGATTGTTGTTGAAAGTCAGATACTGAAGAGTGCTGCCCACCAGGCTCAAGCTCTCCGGGACATTGACGAACTTATTACCGGACAAATCGATTTGCTGCAAATTCATCAGACCCCTAAAAGCGTCCAGAGGTATCGAATCGATGTCGACGTTCGCCAAGTCTAAAACCTGGAATTTCGTACACATCAGTAAACACTCGTTGAAATTAGTATTGACGTAAAATATTTTGGTAGAAATAAACTGTGTTACGAACGTGACTACGCTCACATCACATAAACTATATATATATATATATATAATTTGGACAATTTGCATATCGTTAAATAAATCACTCATTAAAAAGTACACCATTAAATAGTATTGATGTAGGTATTTAGACATCACTTTATTTTTAACGTGGTAGAGCCACAGTTTGTAGCACGAATGGGTAGCTCGACTGGGGAAGAATCACGCTCTAACAAAATATCAGCGTAAAATAGCAGCTTAATGCTGCTGTGTTTCGTATGGTGAGTGTAGAGATCCGGAGACCCTTTTTTACTGGTAACGTGGCATTCCATCTTGGTCCTCAGGGGTGACAACGCATCTGCATTTTGATTCTTAATAGAGGTTAAATGTAGATGTCTATGGGTCACAGCATCCACTTACCATCAAGTGGACTGTGTGCTCGTTTGTCTGCCTTATTCTATAAAAAAATATACAATCATTCATTTTATACTATTTGTTAATAAGTATTTTTAAATGATTTTCTCAATCAATTAATTGCATGTGTATCAATAACATTTCTCACAACATCATTCAATCAGCCAAGTGAACGCCACGAGAAACGAACGAAACAATAAAGTAACAGCCTACTTATTATATACCTAACTAGGTTTTATCAATAATTAAAATTCGTGTATATTTGGTGTATATGGTGAAAATGTCAGTCCGTAAAATAGTTTTTAGCGAGCATTATGAACGTAGAGTTAAAAAAGAGCATTAAAACTTCGCTAGTATAGGTATTTTAATAAATATTATGAATAAAATTAAGAATGTTTCCCATAGCATTTTATGACAATAATTAAAGTGGCATTCACAAAAATACATCGGAAACAGATTAGTTAGACGAGGCTTACACTTTGAACGCCGCTTTCGGTTTCGCTTTCGGGTATTTTACGTTAAGATAGCTCTATCATTGAGTTTCCATTTTTCTTATCTGTTAGAGGACATGATATTTTTGTGTAATTTCTCTCAGCCGATTTTGAACAAGGTGTGATTGATTCTTTAGACCACCACAGTAACCTGCGGAAAACTGCAATCTGCATTAATTATTCTTTCATCACAGGTGCATATAAAGTATCTGTACTAGAATGATACTGCAGACAAAATCTAATAATATGTTTCGATGTTATCTCATATAACCTAGTTATCGTAAACACCATTAAAGTAATAATTTAAATGTAAACTACTTCAAAACTTTGTGACCTTATAGTGTTGTGACTTTATAGACCAATATACATTTCATGGTTCTTGTTTCGCTTTTCCATTGTTCTAATCTAACGTACAAGTGTAATATTTTCTGCTATTTGCGTCAAAGGGAAATTCCCAATTACAATTTATGATCTTGTTCGAGATTGGTATAATAATTCAACACCTCCTTCGCTGATAACAGACGTATGATAACTTAGGTTGATGTTCAAGATAAATTATTTTTGTCTCGTATATGCCAATTGATGTAAATGGTGGAGGTGCAGAATTTTATCTTATAATTGAATTTAAATTAAATAAGTGTGTTATTTTTTTATAGAATAAGTATTTCCAGTAAAAAAGGTATTCGGTTTTTTACCCTCACCATACGTACGGTAGCATTAAGCTGCTATTTTATGCGGTATTCTGTGAGAGCGTGGTCCTTCCCCGGTCGGGCCGAGCCATGACCATCTAACATGAATAAGAGCCGTGTATTTTTCATTACAATTTACATGCAATCAGCAGCAGCATCACAACATGATTATCGTCTTTCTGATGAACATGTCATATTACTGCCATTTGATACTGCAGTCGGTTTCTTTGTTTTAATAATAATTTATATATAATTTTCTTATTAACTATAATTTTGCAGTCACATGAAAGTTTGTGAAGTTTCTCTAGTCATGTATTATATTCTTTCATATTCACTTGTGTATCGTGTCACAGATAGAAAACCTATAATATTTATTTAGCGGCAAATGAAATTTTAGCTCAAATTTTGTATATGTGCATAAATTAACATATTGTGTGTGTGTTGATTAAAACTACATTTACGGATTTTATCGCGTTTTATTTATTTTATTTTTAAGGGGAAATATAACCTCAAATGGCTTAGCAAGATCCTCCGTTATGCCGAAAGTATTGCAGCATTAATTTTGAAATAAATATATGGTAAAGTTGAGGATTAATGTTAAGGACTATGTTAGTCGAAAACACGATTCCGCAAAATTTTCTCGATAGAAAAAAAATCCAAAGTTACCTCCAAACTGAACAATAAACCGCTGTTATTCATAAAATACTTTAAATAAGATCATGAAACTTTGCATACTAACTGAACTAACTATAAAGCAGTGCTTATGTTATTGTTGCATGAATAAGTCAACTAGCGCCATCTAGTGTCAGGAACGAGAGCGAGGGGAGCATTGAGAAAATGACATCACAAATCGCTCAACTGACAGCGCCTAGTCGAAACTCGAACGCTCGGTACCTTCCGCGTGTTTACTTGAACATTCTGGATATTTCTTTGCTAATTTAAATATATAGGCGCTGCAAGATGCGATGGGAGCAGTGTTGATTTGGGCGAAACAAGCGAAGCTTCGGAGTGGAATTAAGTGAATTAGTGTGTTTAAATTATTAGTGTTTTAACTTTAATTGTGTAAAGTAAATTAAAGTGTTAATTTAGGTAATTTTAACGGCAATTTCTATTGTCACGAACCTCCAGCTCGTAACAATTGGTGTCAGAAGTGGGATAAAATCATGCCGATTTTACCTAAGGAGGAAACGGAGGGTGTCCGTACCCGAAGTCAACGCCAGCAGGAGACGGACCAACGAAGATTTGGTGGTGCAACGCCGCAGACGTCGGAGGGCCAGCCACCGGCTGCAGGCCCGTCGGTAGCTCCTACATCTGCAGCACCTGACTTAGGTGCTCTGATGGTGATGCTGCAGGAGCAGGCTCGCCGACAGGAGGAGCAGGCCCGTCAGTTGAAAGAGCAGCTGCAAAGCGGACAAGAGGAACAGGCCCGCCGGCAGGAGGAACAGGCCCGCCGGCAGGAGGAACAGGCCCGTCGTTTAGAAGAGCAACTCCAACGCGATAAGGAAGAGCAGATGCTCCTCATGAAGGACCTTCACGCTATCTTCGGAAAAGAGATACGGGAGGTGAAGGATAAGGTTGCTCAACATGACAACCGCCTGTCGGAGGCCGAAACCCGAATCGACCAAGTAAACAATCGGGTTGACAACGTAATGGCTGACGTGAAGAAAACGCTGGACGACCTCAAACTTGGGGATGGAACAACAGCTCCCGTAGTAGCTACAACACCTTCGCTACGTGGATTCAAAGTGCCGCCGTTCGACGGTACCTCTTCCTGGTCAGCCTACAAGATCCAGTTCGAGGCTGTTATGAAGGCGAACGGCTGGAATGAAAGTCAGGCCATGACTGCTCTCACACTAGGCCTGCGCGACCAGGCCTTAACAGTTCTGGAAGCTCTCGGTGAGGAAGTGACTTATGAGCAACTCATTGAGGCATTGGAGGCGAGGTATGGCGACGCTCACCTGGAACACGTCTTTCGTGCGCAGCTTAAAGATCGCGTGCAGCGCATCAACGAAAACCTGCAGCAGTGGGCTCTAGAGGTGGAGAAGCTGGTGCGAAAGGCATACCGGTCTGTACCTGCGCTCATTGGAGGGAACCTGGTGCAGACATTCATCGACGGCATCCGTGACCTGGAAGTCAGAGCTGCTGTGAGGCTCGGGCACCATGAGACGCTTAAGGACGCCTTGGCCCATGCACTGGAGGTAGAAGCCGTGCGGCAGGATCATCGTTCCCATCGCGTCAGGGAGGTTGCAGCAGCTACAGTTCGCGACCGCAACAAAGGATACAGCCCTAGGTGCTATGGCTGTGGGGAAAAGGGCCATCTTCGATCCAGCTGCCCTAAGCGAACCCTAGAAAGGGAAGGTGAACGATCCCAGGAGGGTAGTGCGGTCAACAGCACCGCCCAGCAGCAGCAGGGAAACGAGTAAAAGCCAGAACTGCGGGGCGGGTGCTGGCTGATGTTAAAAGAGCCCCAAGGATCTCGATCTCACAAACCCATGATGGGAACAGTCTAATCATCAAGGGCGAGGTCAACGGAATGCCGTGTAAACTGACCATAGACACTGGAGCCTCTCGTACGGTTGTTAGTTCCCAACTTATAAGTCAGTTCCTTGGGGACTCCGCATACAACCTAGAACGCATTAATTTGGTAACAGCCACCGGTCAGCGTATACCCGTCCGTGGAGAGAAGGAGATGGAGTTGAAGCTAGGCAACGTGATCTACCTGCATAATGTCATCGTGGCTGATATAATGGACGACTGCATCCTAGGCTTAGACTTTATGAGGAATAATTGTTGCGAGATCGACGTTAAGCAAGGTGTTTTGAAATGTGGACAGGAGGAACTTTTTATGGAAGGTGCGTTACCAGGGAACGTGTACAGCATCAAGAAGATTGTTCTTCCGCCGAGATCGGAAACGATTGTTCCGGTTAGTCTTCCTCGAAACGCTGGGCAAGCTCACCGTTGTGTACTTGTGGAAAGGGTAAACAATGACCTTCCATGGAAAGTAGCTCGAACCTTGGTCAGGACCACTGACATCTCAGGAGTACGTGTGCTGAACCTTTGCGACCGGAAACAGATTATAGAAAAAGGCACACTGGTTGGTACTTGTGAGGAAGTGGATTGGTTACGTCAGTGCCAATATATATCGAGTGGGACCCCCAGCAAGGATTCAGAAACGAGAGTGACCACACTTTTGGAAGACTGTCGCAGTGTTCTCTCCCCGAACGAATTGGTCAAGGCGAAGAAGTTGTTACTCAAGTTCGCTGATGTATTCTCGTCAAACGATGCTGACATAGGAAAGACTGGCTTAGTTCAACACAAAATAAACACAGGAGATGAATTGCCTATCCGT